CCCAGTGAAAGGTGTGCAGGAGGCAGTTGGTCAATGTTTCTATCTCTCTCTCTCTCTTCCTCTCAGTAAAAAATCAATACAATATTTTTAAAAGCACAATGTATTTAGCTGTACAACTTAACAATTGAATGGCCCCATCACCCTGGAAAATTCTATCACGTCCCTTCACAGTCAATCGCTACCCACCCAGAGGCAGCTATTATTTGGGTGATGTTGCCCACCCTACATGAGTTTTGCCTGTCCTTGAACTTCACATAAATGGAGATCTACATCTGGCTTGTCTTGCCCTACATCCTGTCTGTGAGATTCGCCCACGTGGTTACATCGCTCACACCTCCAGCAGCTGACTCACATTCTCCTTCACTGCATGAGGGAAGCAGAGCACTCCTCACTCCTGCTGGTGGCAAGACCCCCCAAGAGGGTGACCAGCCATTTTAGTTTGCCCAGGACTGAAGGGGTTCTGGTGACCTTGGACTTTCTGCCCTCAAATCCAGAAAATTCTGAGCAATCCAGGATGAGTTGTTCACCTCACTTCCAAAACACAACCAGAGCCCTGGCCGGTGTGGCTCAGTTGGTTGGGTGTCGTCCCATACACTGAAAGGTTGCCAGTTCCACTCCTGGTCAGGGCACATGCCTGGGTTTCAGGCTCAATCCCCGGAGGCAGCCGATTTGATGTTTTGCTCTCACATTGATGTTTCTCTCTCCCTCTCCCTCCCTCGCTTTCTAAAATCAATTAAAATATTTATTGGTAAAAACAAAACAAAACAAAACACACAATAGAAACTTCCTCAGAGAGAAAAAAGTAACATTTTCCCCTTTCTCCCTCTCTCTCCTTCCCTTTCTAAAAATCAATTAAAATATTTATTATTAAAAAACAACAACAACAACAACAAAAAACACACAAAAAAACCCACACACACAAAGGAAACTTCCTCAGAGAGAAAAAAGTAACTTTTCCCCCTCTCTATTTTCCTTCCAATATTGACCAGCCTGGGAATAATTTCCTGAGCTGGAGCCCCACCAACCCCTGCTGCCCCTCCGCTGGCTGCCACCCGGGCACTTCTCTGGGACCAGGGCTGGGAGGTTGGTGTAAGGGTGCGGAGCAGAGCAGCAATGCAGTGGGTGACTGGGCAGAGCAGGCGCTTGCTGCAGTGCGGGGAGGTGGCCAGCACAGCCTGGCCAGGCCGCGGGAAGGAAGTGGCTGGTGCGTGCCTTGCATAGCCAAACGCCAGCACAGGGCAGAGAGAGGACCCACAGAGCCTTCTCTCAGGGGTCACCTTCCTGAGCTTTGGGTCACTGGCCTGGAACACTTAGTTATTCCCAGATGCCGCAGGCTCTTAGGCCAGAAGGAAAAATCCCAGACTGTCAGCGACGGAAGAGGCCTTGGAGGGAGAATCTGGCCCAGAGTCTGAAAAACATCCAGGTGCCTCTGAGGCAACAGCAGGGTTTGCCAAAATTCAGATTCCTGGACCCCAATCCAGGGTTTGGCTTTTTTTTTTTTTTTAAATATATATTTTATTGACTTTTTTACAGAAAGGAAGGGAGAGGGATAGTGAGTTAGAAACACTGATGAGAGAGAAACATCAATCAGCTGCCTCCTGCACACCTCCTACTGGGGATGTGCCCACAACCAAGGTACATGTCCTTGACCGGAATCAAACCTGGGACCTTTCAGTCCGCAAGGCCAACACTCTATGCACTGAGCCAAACCAGTTAGGCCAGGGTTTGGCTTTTGGGCCCTAAGAATCTGCATTTGTAACAAGCACCCTGGGGATTCTGATGCACAGGATTCTAATTCAGCTTCGATAGATACTGCTTCTGTTCCAACCTCTGCATCGGAAACTGGAGCACAGAGCGGGGCAGTGACTGTTGTTTGGTCACACAGCAACTTTGTAGCAGGATTGATGAATCAGGATCCTAAACTCCTGTGCCCTCCAGGATCCTAAAGAAACTGGGCAGTCATGGCAAAGGCCTCCCAATATGTTGGAGAATGTCCTCAGGTTCCCGAAGAATCCAGCAATAGAACGAGGATATGGCTGCCTTTAACCGACCAGGCAGGCTATGTCTGTGCCCAGTCACTCATCTCAAAAAGGTAGTATAGTGTGTCTGCAGGTGCCACAGCCTGCTACCTGCTTGACACGCATCATTTCCATTCATCACAACTTCCGGAGCAGAGGACGGCAAGTCCAGAGGGACTAAATGACATGCCCGAGCAAGCGGAAGTGAGGGATGTGAACCTAGACACAGACACTCTGGATCCCACACCCTCAACAGCATTCCCACCACCTCCCACCCCTTCAGTGGGCCAGGTACAAGTCAAGAGAAAGCTGCCCAGCCGTGGACAGGCAGACAAAGGGCGGAACAGACCAGCCTGTTTTTCTTTCTCCAGCGGCCAGACATAAAGGACATTTCAATTTAGTTGTCCTGTGGGCCCAGGCACTGGAAATAATTTCTTTTTCCACTTCAGAGCTTTTTAGTCCAAAGGAAACTGTGGTTGTCAACATTTTGCTTTTCACTCAGGCAGCCAACTGGCTTTGCCATTCATTTGCTCATCCATCATAAGTATATATAATTTAGTCAGGTTCTCAACTCTGGCTTCACATGAGATTCGTCTATGGGGCTACTGGAAAATTCTACTGCTCAGGCTCAAACTTAGAGCAATTACAGAATCTCTGAGGTCCAAGACCAGATGTCAGGATGCTTTTCAAAGGTGACTCTGCTCTGCAGCCCAGGTTGGGAACCACTGCCCGGGACCAAATTTAAAGTGCGTACAAATCACTTTGGGGTCTTGTTAAAATGCAGATTCTGATTCCTCAGGGATGGAGAAGGAACCAAGAGTCTGTGCTTCTAATGAGCTCCCAGGGGAGGGGATGGTTCTGGTGAGAGGACCACACTTGGAGGAGCAGGGGGGCTGCTGGGACTCTGTTGGAAGCCAAAGGTAGGGAGTGTGAATGGCACAACAATGAAGCCAGAACAGCCCCCACCTCGCTGGGATCCCCTAGAGGACCAGTGGTTCTCAACCTTCCTAACGCCGCGACCCTTTAATACAGTTCCTTATGTGGTGGTGACCCCCAACCATAAAATTATTTCCATTGCTCTTCATCGCTGTAATTTGCTACTGTTAATGAATCGTAATGTAAATACCTGTGTTTTCCGATGGTCTTAGGCTCACAGGTTGAGAACCGCTAGCAGGGTCGCCTAAGACCACTGGAATATAACACAGATATTTACATTATGATTCATTAACAGTAGCAAAATTACAGTTATGAAGTAGCAACAGAAATAATTTTATGGTTGGGGGTCACCACAACATGAGGAACTGTATTAAAGGGTCGCAGCATTAGGAAGGTTGAGAACCACTGTCCTAGACAATTGTGTGAACAGTTGCAGTCCATGTCACCAGTGCCGTTCTAGAAACGCAGGAGTCCTCTCTGCCCCATAGCCCCAAACCCCCCCCCCCCGAAACAACATCTACTTCCCTAGTACTTTACCCAACCCAGAGACTAGCTCAGGGCCTGGCACACTTTAGACAGTTTTGTTGGATAAATGAATGAGGGATGGCAGGAGTTACAAAATAGTGAATGGCTAAGAGACCATCTACTATGTAAGTGAGTCATTTCACTGCTCAGAACCATGTCCTGGGCCATAAAATGAAGTTGTGCTGCCTGCTCACAGCATCACTGTGGGGCTTAAGGGACAGCACTTGGGCACATGCCTGGTGCACAAGAGGGCCTTATACAGGGAAAGGTGAAGGTTGGCTGCTCTAACAAAGAGGCCCCAAGATGGAATGGCTTTAAACAAAATAGAAGTTGATTTGTCTTACAAAGAGAGATCAAGGTGAGTGGGCAGCTCTCATTCGCAGACCCAGATTTTTTTGCCATCCCTAGTGCTCCATCCTCCCTGGGGCATTGATCCAATCTACTGGTTCCAAGCTGGGTTGCAGGGCCAAATGGGTTGTTCTGACTCACAGGCAGAAAGTGTGTTCAGGAATTCACACCAACACCTTAAGTTCTGGAACCAGAGGTGGCATGCCTCACTTCTGTTCACATTCCACAGGTGGGGACTTGTTCTTTGGCAACACCTAGCTGCAAGGGAGATTGGAAAGATAGTCTGTGATCCAGCTGAGCAGCCAGCACCCAGCCACAACGTGATAACTATGTAAAAAGGAGGCTTTGGTGGACAACTAAGAGTCTACAGCACATAATAAACAGATACTATCTTACCTAATAATAGACAAACATGTCAATTGACCATACCTCCGCTATGCACACAGCCAATCATAATGCATATGCAAATTAACCCAACAAAGATGGTGGGTTAATTTGCATATTCAGGCACTGGTGCAGGACGCCTGCTGTGAGGGGGAGAGAAGCAGTGGAGGGGCCTACAGGAGTGGTGCTCCAGACAGAAGCGAGGTCTTGCTGGCTCCTGAGCAGCTAGGAGTGAAGTCAGGGAAAGGAAGGCCTATTTTTGCATCAATGTTGTGCAATGGGCCTCTAGTATAGAATAAAGTCCTAGCTGGTTTGGCTCAGTGGATAGACCATTGACCTACGGACTGAAGACTCCTGGGTTTGATTCCGGTCAAGAGCATCCACCTCAGTTGCAGGCTCCTCCCCAGCTGGCCCAGACCCTGGTCGGGGCTCCTTCAAGAGGTAACCAATGGATGTGTTTCTCTCACATCAATGTTTCTCTCTGTCTTTCCCTCTCTCTTCCACTCTCTCTAAAAAGCAGTGGAAAAATACCTTTGGATGAGGATGAACAACAACAATAACAAAAGAGAATAAAGAGAGTATATAGTACATATAGAATATATTTAATATGTAGAATCTATAGGTGGAACCAGTATCTCTATCCACATTCAACATATCAATATCCCATATATACCTATGTATATTGCTGTCCACATAGATATATGGAATCGCCCTTGGGCGTGGCCATTCCCCCCATTCCCAGTGCTGTTGCCATCCTCCGCTCTACCCTGCGTTCTGTCGCTTCTCCAGGGCGAGTGCTCTCAGAAGTGCTACTACATCTTCATCGTGGAGACCATCTGCGTGGCCTGGTTTTCCCTGGAGTTCTGCCTGCGGTTCGTCCAGGCCCGCAACAAGTGCCAGTTCTTCCAGGGGCCCCTGAACATCATCGACATCCTGGCCCTCTCCCCCTACTACGTGTCCCTGGTGGTGTCCGAGGAGCCCCGGGAGGACGACGAGCGGCCCGGCGGCGGCAGCTTCTACCTGGAGAAGGTGGGGCTGCTGCTGCGCGTGCTGCGGGCGCTGCGCATCCTCTACGTGATGCGCCTGGCTCGCCACTCGCTGGGGCTGCAGACGCTGGGCCTGACCGTGCGCCGCTGCACGCGCGAGTTCGGCCTCCTCCTCCTGTTCCTCTGCGTGGCCATCACCCTCTTCTCCCCGCTGGTCTACGTGGCCGAGAACGAGTCCGGGCGGGTCCTGGAGTTCACCAGCATCCCGGCCTCCTACTGGTGGGCCATCATCTCCATGACGACGGTGGGCTACGGGGACATGGTCCCGCGCAGCGTGCCGGGCCAGATGGTGGCCCTCAGCAGCATCCTGAGCGGCATCCTCATCATGGCCTTTCCAGCCACGTCCATCTTCCACACCTTCTCGCACTCCTACGTGGAGCTCAAGAAGGAGCAGGAGCAGCTCCAGGCCCGCCTCCGCCACCTGCAGAATGCAGCCACGGCCAGTGAGCGCGAGCTCCTGAGCGACGTGGATGACCTGATCCTGGAGGGACCCGCCTCCCCCATCAAATACATTTAGCTGCAAACCCCCGTGAACACTCCAGGACTTCCATCCAGGACTTCACTCATGGACTGGAGAACAGCTGCCGTAGATATACGGTGGTACATTTCCGGAGCCCTGGGGGAGCTCCCAAAGCTACAAGGGGCTCAAGGCCAAAATTGGGGTGGTTTGTGATTCCTGAGCCTCCTGGCCCCACGATCCAGGCTGACCTTATCCAGGTCATTGTCGTTTCTCCCCTCCCTGTCCCTCCCTCAGCACATCTGGTTTTGCTAGGTGAAGTCAGTCTCCATTCTCATTTCCTTCCCAACAGTCTCCAGCATCCCACTCTGGGTTCCAGATTCCTGTGAACTGAGCCTACAGAGTTCCATCCATCCATCCCCAAAGACTCTCTTTTCTGGGCCACCCGAGCACCAGGAACTGACGTGGAGGGTCCAGTCACTACAAGCCAGTTCCTCTGCTCACAGCTACCAATGGATTCCTAGTGTAGCCACCTTCCCCCAGCTCTGAAAGCTCTTATCCAAGAGGACAGACTGGCTTCTTTGCATTAAATGGCACCATGGCCGCAAGACTCCCATCCTCCCTGAGTTGCCTGGCACCTGGACAAGAGTGCCACTTGCCAGCACAGCAGGACCTCCTTGGCCAACTGGACTCCTGGTGGGATATTCTCCAACAATCCAGTCCTTGGCCTTGAAAGCGAACTCTTGTAGGGCTCTGTCCCTTGAGAGGTCTGTTCCTGCTGCTGGTTCCTCTGTGGGGACCCAGGCTTTCCACCCTCCGCTAAGCCACCATGGACACAGCGTGGAAACAAGAGCAGCCTTAGGATCTGCCCCTCGTCGGCCCCCTGGCCCAAGCCCTTGATGCCAGAGAACAGGCATTCTCTGCATATACTTAAATGTATCTATTGTCTTATCCGTTCATTCACTAACAAATTTGGCCCTTTACATCTAGTTAGGAGGCAGATGTAGGACCAAGTCATTCGAGATAAAAGCAGTGCACGCTGAGTGAGACAGAGAGGAAAGAGCAATGAATTCTGAGCATCGGGCTCACAGAGGTCCTTCACAGAGACACAGGAAGGGTTGAGTATGGAGGGATGTTTGGGAGGAAATGCGGGAAAGGTGGGGTGGGTGAGAAGGTGGTGGGCTGTGGGTGCTGTGCAGAGGGTTTGGAAGTTTCAGTAATGGAAAGATGTTGGACATGCTGGAGGAAGAAGTGATGTGAGTGGACTAACCGCAGCAGTGGATGAAGATGATCGGATGGGATGTGGAAAAACCAGTTTGGAACAGAGAACAATTGAGTCATTCGGGTGAGATCAGAGGGCCCACCTCCTGTGAGTTCTTCCTGGTACCCGGGGAAGAAAATCCTGGCATCTTGTCTACTGTTTCCCCGCAAAGCACACCTGGGAGAGATCTCAATGGCACCTCCCGTGAGTGACTCGGCCACTTCTTGCTGCAGCTCTGCCTGTCACTGGGTCTGGCTTCCACCCAGGCATCTCCATTTTCCTCTGAGCCACGTACCAGGCTTTTTCTTTTTCTTTTTTTTTCTTTTTTTTCTCTCATACCAGGTATCTTAACAAAAATGTGCAAGGACTGAAAGAAAAATAGGTGAGCTCATCATCAACATTACGACGTTCTATAGTTTCTTAGTGCACACTCAGTGGACATTATCTACTAAATTAGAAGTGGAAAATTGGAATCAATTGCTAGTATGTGGGGCTTAATTAAATGGTCTATTTTTTTCTCCCAGCAATGTTCTGGGGGGCTAGTCTAGTTTCAGGGAGCAGACTTTCCTTCATGCTGATTGGATGTTGTAGGGATAACAAGTGAGTTGCTAGATGGTCTCTTTACCCCTATTGGCTGGAAGGAGTCTCCAATTGTCAGAGGGCTTGTTTTATCTGAGGCCAATGGGTGTGACTGTAACCAAAGGGAGAAATTTGCCAAAGAGCCTTTACTTCAAGCCATTTTCATGTTGCACTGATACATCTCTAAGAGATAACTTTAAAATGTTTATTCAACATCTCTCTAGCCAGAGTTGAGCTCAAAGAGTGACTTGGGAATGGATGGGTTAGTTCTTCAATGCAATGCAGGCAGAGCTCTACCCACTGACTCTATTTTGATAGCTTTTAGGACTTGAGAAATTGGTAACTGGAAGGCCTGTCAGAAGACAGTCTGCGCAGAGAGTTTCCTGAGAGGATCCGTGAACCTCTGGAGATTATGCATTTCAAGTGAACAGCTTTGAAATAGGGTCCATTGATTTAGTCATGTCCTCAAAGGAATCCATGAACCTACACAAAGAATAAAAAAGTTCTTACGTAGATCAACTCTTGCATTTTATGATGGGGGGACCAAGGCTCAGAGAGAAAAAGCCACCTGCCCAAGGCCACACAACCAGTTCATTTAGTTAGTCCAAGTCTCTGGTTCCCAGCAGGACACTCTGTAGTATATCATGCTGCAGCTCTGAGGCTCGTATGACACAATACCCAAACCCTCAAAGAAAACAGCCAAGACAAGATTATAACAACACTCTGCCATGTTTTCCTGAGTTTAGTAAATAGGGCTGTCTTGAGATATCTTGGGTACCAACTCTCCCCCTTTCTTCATTGTATCACGGTCGACCTGGAAATTAATTTCACTTCCTCTTCTTACTGATCCCATGAAAAGGGTGGATGAGATGGTGGTTAAAGTCCCTCAGTATGGACAGCCCATGATTCTAGGAAGTATAGTTCATTGCAGCATTTTATACCATGGAGGGGCAGGGAAGAAACAAGGAAAAAGGTGAGGAAAAACAGACCGTGGCCCCTGACTATCCATAGACTTGCTCCCTTAGCGAAAATCAGTGAGTAGTTCAACTTCAAATAGTTCACTGGCATCTCTGTAACACAGCTGTCTGCCACGTTGCTACCCGCACCCCCCCCCCTGAACACCTCACCCCACCCCGACCACATGCCCCTCAGCACCTGGCTACCTGGCTGTTCTTGCCCCAGCTGCCTGCCCCTCTCACCAGCATTAAACTCCCTGCCTCATACTCACAGTGAAATGCTAATAATGGGCACCACTTACTGAATGATATTTAGGCACCAGGCAAGTGATTTTTTAAAAATATATATATTTTTATTGATTTCAGAGAGGAAGGGAGAGGGAGAGAGACAGAAACATCAATGATGAGAGAGACTCATTGATCGGCTGCCTCCTGCACCCACCCCTACTGGGATCCAGCTTGCAATCTGGGCATGTGCCCTGACAAGGAATTGAACTGTAACCTCGTTCATAACTTGACACTCAACCATGGACCCACACTGGCCAGGCAGGCATGTGATTTTTTAACATCTTATTTGGAAAAAGATGTTAAACTCACACATAAAAATGTTGCAAGAACAAAAATGGTACATAGAACCCTTGAATACACATCTTTTTCAAACATGTTGCCTCATTTGCTTTATCATTTTCTCTCTCTCTTTCTCTCTCTCTCTCTCTCTCTCTCTCTCTCTCTCTCTCTCTATATATATATATATATATATATATATATATGACACGCAGGGCATGCTTTTCTGGACTATGTGAGAGTAAGTTGACTGCATGATGCCCTTTGCTTTCAGAACTTTAGGATATGGTAACTGAAGGCCTATCAGACCAACCGTCCAAGGCTTCTTAGCTGAGAGTTCCATGAGATTCTGTGACCTCTGGAGATGACCGGCAACAAAGAATGTGTAAGTGACGTTGTTTCAAAGTGCCATGTCCAGAGATTTCATCGGATTCCCAAAGGAATGCATGATTCTTCCTCAAAATGAAAGGATAGGAAGCTCTGAAGTAAACCAGCCCCCTTCTTTATAAGATGGCGAGCCCAGGAAAGCCCGATCCTAAGGAGATCCTCTTGTAAAACGACGTACAGTCATCCACGTCAGCACATTTAACTTGGATGCAATCGTTTAATCTAATCTACTGTCTGTTCCAATTTTGTCAGCTTACCTAATCATATTCTCGCCAGCCTCTCCCTGGCAGGACAGGGTCCAGCTTAGAATCGGATATTGCGTTTACTTGTCCTGTCTCTTTAGTCTCCTGTGATCTAAACCTGACTCTTTTCTCTGACGTAGATGACAGTGAGCTTCTGGACGCATATACATCCTCCTTAGTGATAGAACTGCTCCATGATTCCTAGCGTTTGGATTGAGGCTATGCATTCCCAGACAGGCACTGCATTTGTGAGGTTGTGTCTCTCTCTGGGTATCATAACCGGGGACACCATGCTCTCTCTGGTGACAGATGAGCCCCTTATTTAGGAGGTAACCCCAGGAGACTCTTGGCAGGGAGTGAAGAGCGAGAAAGGGAGGCAGAGCTGGTATTCCAATAAGAAACAAAATTAACTTCTGCGCCTGTGCAGGCCAGACAGAGCCTGACTGAAGGCCAGGTGTGTGCAGGTCACCTCGGGCTGCCTCTGTGAGAAGAGAGTGCCTACCCAGAAGGTGAGCTAGTCCCTGAGACTCAGAGCAGATGACCTCTTTCCACTTGCCACCAGGAGGGGGCTCTGCCAGCTCAGGATGCCTGCCTCATAGATTCTTAGAGCTAAAAGTGCCCTTAGAGTCACCAGACCCAATCTGCCCATTTTACAGTTGTGGACACAGAGGCCCAGGGAGGGGACTTAATGTGGCAAGTCACACAGCCAGGGTGGCAAAGCCAGGACTCACCCAGCATTGGACACCTACCCCAGGGGCACCTCAGGAACACAATGTCGGTTAAAAAGAGAATGAAGCCAAGGGCGCTGTAGGCTGTCTCCCGGGCCCTGTGGCTCCTCCGTTATCTGAAGCCACCTTGGCTGAGGCTGCACAGAGCGGGCCCTGCCTCAGCACAGCCTGCTCTGGACGTCACATAGAGAATGTGTGACAGTCACTCACCTTTGCTGTAAAGTGGATGGAGCCAAGGAAAAGGGAACAAATTTGGGCGCCCTGAGCTAAAATTAGCCAATCTTGCTGTTCTGAAGGCTTCCTTTGTACTCTGCCAACGACTAGCTTAAAATAAGATCCTCTGGAACTGTGGTCAGCAAACTGCGGCTCACAAGCCACATGCGGCTCTTTGGCCCCTTGAGTGTGGTGGCTCTTCCACAAAATACCACAGCCCGGGCGAGTATATTTTGAAGAAGTGGCGTTAGAAGAAGTTTAAGTTTAAAAAAAAAAAAAAAATGGCTCTCAAAAGAAATTTCAATCATCGTATTGTTGATATTTGGCTCTGTTGACTAATGAGTTTGCTGACCACTGCCCTGGAAAGTTCAGTTTCACTGGGCACCTTCCTAACTAATCTGCTGGAGAGCACCCCGGCCTACCCCTCCACCCCCCCTCCACCACCACACTAAGAGAACATTAAACAATATTAAGAAGTGATGCTGTGGCCTCTCTGGTATATTGGGACAGGTCTAATGGCAGGGCCTGCTGGCTGACCTTGGGATGTGGGAGGAGGTGAGGGGATCCCCCAAATGAGAGGTGGCAGGGGTCAGGGGTCTCCTACCCCAGGGTCACTGCCAAGTCAGAAGTTGGGAGGGGCAGTTGTTGGGTTCTGGGGCAGTATTTCCTAAGTGCCTGCCCTGTGCCTGACCTTGTTCTAGTTCAGGGAGACAGTGGTTAGAGAGACAGATGCTGATTAGCTTGGCTGAGGCTGCACAGAGCCGGCCCTCCCCCTGGAGGCCTGCTCCAGATGTCACAGGGAGAATGTGCGCCTGTCATGACTCACCTTTGCCGTGAGGGGGATGGGAGGAGGGAGGTCCGCAGGCAGACCACAGATAAGTCCAGAAGGAAATAAATAGGTAAGTCCTAGGAAGGAAGAGGGCAGCGTGGGAGTAACCACATGTGGAAGCCAAATTTGAACAGGCTTCTAAGGTTGCAATGGATTTGCCAGCATCTGGTTCCTCTTCCAGTCTCCCTGCAGGTCGGGGAGGCAGGGCTGAAGTTCTGGTCATGGGAATGTGGAAACACCCCTGCATGATCCTCTACACTCTCCCTCCCGCAAGTTGCATGCAGACTCAAGGAATGGTCAAAGCCCAAAGGCAGGGCTAGTGAACCACATCCAGCCGGTGCCTGTGCTGTAAGTGAAGTGTTACTGAGACACAGCCAGGCCCATTCTCGCGGATATTGCCTCTGGAGCTTTTGGGCTGCAATGGTAGAGTGAGTCGTGCAATAGAGACTGTCATGGCCTTCAAGCTGGAGATATTTACTCTGATGCTTTGCAGAAGTTTGCTGGCCCAGCCCTAAGAGCAATGGAGCCACAACATGGAAGTATCTGCATCCCGAACTTCCACATGTTGATCTCCTGCATCGGTGGATTGTCCAAGCAAGAGAACCCTTCTCCTGTGAAAGCCACTGACACTAGGGGATTGTGTGTCACTGCAGTTGGCCCACCCCCCACCTGCACCCCACAAAGTGCTCCTTTCCTGTAGAAGCTTCCTAAGTCCTTCTTGGGCCAGACATCCCCCGGCCACTAGCCCTGGTGGGGTGAGGAGCCGGGCTCCCCCACCATCCTGGGGAGAGTCAATCTGTACCCAATGTATCATACAACAGCAAATCTCCATGGGGAAAACGTGCACGCAAACCCATTCACCCGGAGCAGGGCCAACATTCATGCGTGACATCTAGGCAATGAGCTATTTCCTTTTTACAATGACCCAGAATCATCACTGTTCAGTCCTATACACGTGTCTAAAAGTCACCAGCCTCTACACAGATAATAATTTAATTTAAAAAATGTAAAAAAATAAAATAATAAAATAAAATAAAAGTCACCAGCCTCCACCCCCAGCCCATTTCTACCTTCAGAGGCAGGGCCAGGCACACAGTAGGTGGGCAGTAAATGCAAGTGACCCTCTCTTCCCAGGAAGGTTCTTTTCCCCTCATTTCACCAAGTGCCCCCCACACCCTCGTGTGCCAACCACCGGGTCAGTCACGAGGCAAGGTGGTGAACAGCAAAGCTGACAGTTTCATCCACCAAAGCTGACAGTGCCTGCCCGCCCATCAAACTTCTCAGGTGCATACACAAATGCTCGCATTTGATTCCTGTGTCTGAGATAAAGACAGTGGGATCTTTAGAAAGTGAAGTAACCAACTCCATGCTCACCCTGGAGAACACTAGGATAAGCCAGCAAGATGACCCTGGGAAGTCAGAGGGGGACCCTGGGCAGGGTGAGGCTGCGGAAAGGGGCTGGGGTATTGAGGCTGTGATCCACAGGGCTGCACAGTGACAGCAGGGCGTGCTGACATTTTCCCAAATTCATTCTTCATTCACTCAACAAGTCTTTATTATGCTAGCACTTTTCCAGGCATGGGGGGGTTAGGCAGGGAGCAAAACAGACAAGGAATAAAGGAATAGGCAGGGTAGGGGTGGGCCTGCCAGAGTGAGGGGTTGCAATTTTGTCAAGGGTGACCTGCAAGGCCTTTCCAAACTGCGGCATTTGAGTAAATCCTGAAACAGTGAAGGGAGTGAGGCCCGTGGATCTCTGGAGGAAATGCTTTGGGAAAGAAGGAAGAGCAAGTGCAAAGGTAATGAGCAGGAATGTGTTTGGTCCTTTAATGGATGGTTTGGGTACACCACATCTGGTGTAGGGGAATTGATGGAGTGAGAAGGAAGTAAGGTCAGAGACCAATAGAGACAGAGGGCACCTAACGTGGTGCCAGATATGCAGTCTGTGTAGTGTCTGCTTGTGCTCCCCCTACCCCCCTGGCTGTGTGGTGCTCTCTGCAGTGCCTGGTCCTTCCCGGCTCCAAGTGGGAAATCCCACTGACCACTGCTAATGCCATTCTCACCTCCATCCTTTTGGTAATAGAACCCCCCCAGACTGCAGCTAGATCCATTTCCCAGTCACTGCTGCAGCTGGGTGTGGTGTGTAACCCAGTGTGGACTGATGGGAGCTGAGAGATGTGGGGAACCTCTGGGTCATGTCCTCCGAGTGGAGGCACCTTCTCTTGAGGTGAGGATGGTGGACATCATCCAAGGGCTGATCACCTCTGGACCATTGTGAAGAATAAATTCTAATGAAAGCCAGAGCATGTGGCTTTGTCACTGCATCTCAGCATGCACCCAATGCTGTTGTGTGTTTTTATTGGTTTATAGAGAGGGAGGGAGAGGGTGGGAAGGAGAGAGAAACATCCACATCAGAGTGAAACATTGACGGGCTGCCTCCTGCATGCCCCCCACCCCTCCCCAGCCCCCACTAGGGATTGAACATGCAACCCAGGCATGTGTCCTGACTGGGAATCAAACTGGCAACCTTTCAGTGTATGAGACAACACCCAACCAACTGAACCACACTGGCCAGTGCTTTAGTGTGTGTGTGTGTGTGTGTGTGTGTGTGTGTGTGTGTGTTAGAGAAACATCCATTTGTTGTTCCACTTATTCATGCATTCATTGGTTGATTCTTGTATGTGCCCTGACAGGGGACTGAAACATAACCTGGGTGTATGGGGACAATGCTCTAACCAACTGAGCTGCTGGCCAGGGCATACCCAAAGGTTTCTTCAACTGTCATTTCACCACAGATCATGAAGCAGAGGGACAATTTACAGAGCAGACCTTCTCTCTCCAGACCCTCACTACGTTTTCCCTAGGTCTTACTGCTTCTACAGGGCAGAGAAAAACGGGCACAATAAAATGGACATTTTCAAAATTTCTTCTAAAACTTGTATTTTAGAACAGGGTTACTATTTTCTCCTTGTAACCCCCTCCTATGAAGAGGAAATCCTATAAGTCACTACTTTCCCATTCATTGCTTGTCTGCCAGGCAGCTCCTATGTGGGAGACTCCACACAAGGGGATGGGAGCTGAGAGCACACAGAACTATGGCAGTCACTGACTGAGGACTGCCAAGAGCCAGGAACAGTGCTGGGCCCACGGACCAGCTCATCTGTCCATAATGCTGTGGTTACGCATTTGTGGCCGACTCACATTGGCTAGATGGGAAAACTGAGGCTGGGGAAAGTGGGAGTGGCTCTTGTGGCTCCTGGGTAGACAATGCTGCCCAGCGGTGAAGACCACACACGGCAGAGGGACTGCATGGTGCGGAGGATGCCCGGGGTCCAGGAGAGATCCCCAGGCTCAGAGCGGCAGGGAACAGAGCAGGCGAGTGCTGGCACAGGCTTCCTGGAGGAAGCAGCTTTTGAGTTGTGCCCAGCCAGATTGCACTCCTCTTGATTTAAATATGCCAGTGTTGGCAACACGTCACCCAGAGGAGATCAGGCCAAGAGACACTAACAGGCTCCCCACTTCAAAAGCAGTGCTCAGCATCACTCTGCAGGAGGAAATAAGCTGAGTCAAGGGAACTGAGTGAATACGGTGTAATGGGGACTGTCTGGGGAGGAAAGGAATGGACGGGCAGATTTATGCAAAGTGGGGACAAATATAACTTCCTTGGCAGAACACAGCAGAGTTTATGTCATTTTGAAAAACTTGTTTACCCAGTGATTATGTGATTAATGAATATCAAAAGGCTCATTGCATAAAAGTGCAGTTTGAATGGCTGTTATATTTCTAGATTCGGCTGTAGTTTACCCTTGCAGCACAAAAAGTAAATCAACTTAAATGATCTCCTGGGGAAAATAATGTGTAATAAATGAGCTAATCAATAGGTTTGGGAGTTTTAAAAATCCTCTCCATTCCTGAAAAACATAACCACAAGAAACATCATTTCAAGGTTGGCCTTAGAAGTTGTTTTAAACAGTAAATATCGATAGTAAACAGCTGCTCAAACAGGAAACCAGTGCTCACCTGGCTTTTGAGACCCTCCCTCCTGGTCAAACTTCCCTCCCCCTGCTCCTCTTCCCGGCCTCTGCTCATGCACACTCCCCAACACCCGTTTTGCTCCTCCAGCCTGGACTCCCCTCTCCCTCCCTCCCATGGCCACTTCCTCACCCTCTGCACCTCCCACCTCTGCCCAGGAAAGAGCAGAAGTGAGAATACCAAGGCTAGGAGGGAACTTTAGGAACCAGCATCCAGTTCTCATTTTATAAAAGAGGTTGGGATTCTGTCCAAGGTCACAGGAGCAAACCCAGCAGCAGCCCAGGCAGTGATTGGACCGAGGGCTGGAGGTAGAAGCCTGCGTGGAACTGCAGCCCCACCTGACCCGTGCTCCTCTGGAAGTCCCGCTGCCCTGTGAGTCTCCGCAGCTGTGAAACGCAGCTACCGTGCAGAGCTGGCCAGAGGCTTCACTTCTCAGAGCTGCCATACAAGGTCTCACAATCTGGGTGCCTTCAGACGAGACATTTCTTTTCCCGCAGCTCTGGAGGCCAGAAGTCTGAGCTCAAAGTGCTGGAAGGGCTGGTGACGAGGAACAGCCATTCCAGGCCTCTGCCCCAACTTCCTGTGTCTCAGGGCATTCCTTGGCTTCCACCTCTGCCTCCCTCTTCACATGGCCGGCCGTGTGTCTGTGTGTCTCCTCTTCTAAGGGCCCCTGTCATTGGATTCAGGGCCCACCCTAACCCAGTATGACCTCATCTTAACTAATTACACCTGCAAAACCTTGTTTCTCAGGTCACTTTTATAGGTTTCAAGTAAACACGAATTTGGGGGACACTCTTCATGCCAGTACACCCTCAGGGCTCCAGGCTCTAACCCACTTGCAGAAACCCAGGGGACCTTCAGGGCAGGGACTGGGGCTGCTCTCTGCCCAGGGCTCCAACTCCCCTTCTGACTGGGGACTAATTGCCCACACCATCCAGGCATCCTTCAACACGGTGCTCACACCCACGAGGCTTGCTCCACCAGAGGCAGGGGGGCCCAAGAGTAGGCACCTCCCTTCTCTACCACTTGCCCCAGGTCAAGCCCTGGGAAAGGGAGGGGGGACAGCCTCCATTACACCTGCAGAAGATATGCTCCCACACCTCTGCCAACAGTCTGGACCAACACGGCACAGCCTCGGCCTCCCCAAGCACGCAGGCTTGGCAGGGGGAGCCACAGCTGGTGCAGCGAAAAAGCAGTTCTGTGAGAGGGGACCCCATGGGCTTCTCTCTTCACAAATAAAAGGAACTCGGGCTACCCCTCCCTCCAAAACAGCCAACAACACATGGGAGGACCAGAAACAGCTTCTTTATTCAAGAAAGAGCTTCTTTATTCAAGCCCAAATCTGCAGCAGTCCCCACTGTTCCACCATACCAGGCCCTCCCTCCAATGCCAACTTCCACTGGGCACCCACCGTTCTCCCCCAACCACCCCCCTCCCCCAGAAACAGCATTCCTCAGTGGTGTCTAGCTCAGCTCAGGACCTCAGCGCCGGGAAGTCTGTTTCAATTCCTGAATTTGCCCACCAATGGCTTCGAGGGCCAAGCCCCCAGGCCCTGCTGTTCCAGGAGGAGGGACAGCTGCTGGCGCGCTTCCTGGTAGGGCCCAGCCTAGGGTGGGAGAGGAGCGCGGTGGGAGAGGGTGCTTGCTAGGGGTGCAGGGGAAAGAGGGCTGGAGGGCAGGGAAGGAGCTGACCTTAGCCTCCTCATAGGTCTTCAGGGCCAGGAGGTGGGACTTGCCCAGAGCTTGGGCAGCCTGGCGGAAGGCCCGGAGAAAGGCTGCCTTGCAGAGGCGGGAGGGAGGCCCTCGGACAGCACTGCAGGTGGAGAGAAAGGACGGGAGGTCAGAGGAGGGAAAAGGTGAACTGAACTAGCAGTCTGCACCATGGCCCTCACGCCATCCTTCATGTGATGACAATCTCAGGGGGATACGAGGATGGCATGGGGTAGGTGACAGGAGCCCCCGTGGTCACACTGCTACAAGAGGCTGCGCTGGGATTAGAACCTGACCTGTAACTAGATGCGTGTTCTTATCCCACAGCAGGGGAATGGGGATCCCTCCCCACCAGGCCTTTTCATACCCCACCACCACCCCACACAGGCCCTTCTCACTCAGCTTTCACACGTCCGGTAGTCACATCCACAACCTCGACATCAGAGTCCCCCAGGCTCCAGTTGAGGCTTAAGTCATGGCAGGTGTTGGAGGTGGGGTTCAAAGGAGCCACAGGGGGCCCTGAAAATAGGTGTAGCATGGTCCGGGTGTAGGGAGGTGGCAGGCATGAGACCCTGTCCAGGTTGGGCCGGGTGTGGATGGCACTGCTCAGAGTGGGGGGGTCATGGCAGGGATCAGCTGTGGGAGCAGAAGGCACAGACAGAGTCTGAGTCACCACCCTCTCCCACAGCCCACCCAGAGCCCACCTTCCACCCTCAAGCCCCTCAGGCTCCTCACCCAGGACGAGACTGGTGGCATAGAGGGGAGGCAGGAAGTGGGCCATCAGGGCGCCACCCACCCCCAACACGGTCCAGCGTGACAGCTTGTCGCTGGCTGAGAGGCAGCCCACGTGGGTGTCCCGGACAGTGGGGGACAGGTAGCACACAGGCTTCAGCTCCCCTCCGATGTGGGCCTGCAGGCGGAAGGGGGCGCTGTGCAGCAGGCCGCTCTCAAAGGACCGTGACGGTGGTGTTGGCGGTGGGGGGAGGCTGCAGAGACGGGAGGAAACAGGACATTGGACACCCGTCAGGACCGCTCTTCTGACCCCACCCAGCACTGCCCTTCCCAACCCATCACCCCAAGGGACCCCATGGGAGCTCCCACATACTAGATGTCGTGAGCAGCTCCCTTGGGGGTATTGCTGATGTAGAAGTGTATGAAGATCCGGGGCTTGAGGACAAAGGGGAACCCAGGCCCGGGCTGGAGGGTCAGCACAGACTGCTCCCTGCCCTTGGGACCACCCTGTGTCGCCAGCAAGAGCTGCCGATACAAGAATCTGGAAGAGACAGTAAAGGCGCAGCTGGGAGACGCCGCTCCTGACCGGCCACCGCAGGGTGTGCCCCTGGCCCATCCTTCACCTCAGCAGGGCCCGGCGGGCGATGACCAGGCCATGGCAGTCGTGGAGCTGCCGGCCTGAGAACTCAAGCCAGCCAGCACAGCTGCTGCTGCCCGTGCCCAGGGCCACCAGCTTGTAGATTTCCTTGGTGTGGCTCCTGGCACCCGGGACCTCTGCGAGAGGAGAAAGCAGATTCAGTCTGGCCTAAGCAAGGCAAGGGCCCACGGGGCCTGAGGTGGCGCGGGGGAAGGAGGGGACATGCGGGGGATGGCAGGGCAACCCCTACCTTTCTCCAGGATGACAGCAGCCACAGTCCCCTTACAGGCCCAGTACGGTGAGGTCTCACTCACCAGGCGGTCAAAGCCAGCGCTGACCACAGCTGCACAGCGCTGCTCGTGGGTTAGGATGTTCTCTGCACACGGGGGAGAGGGCAGAGGTGGGGACCTCACAGGCCGTGCCCTTCTCCCTCGCCACAGGGGTCAGCTCAACAGGGGCCCACCTACCTACACTCAGGTCGCTGGGTGGTGAAGGCTTGCTGGCGGCCTTTGGGGACTCTGGAAGAGAGACAAGGGATGGGTCGTTATGAGTGCCAGGGTCTGCCCTCTTCTCTTTGTCCTTCAAGAAGCCAAGGGGTTCCATTGTTGGGTGCCCCTTTAGCAGGCCCTGCCCTTTGGATGGGCAGGCTTCAAAGGATATTAGTGCGAGGATCAGTTCACATGCCCCTCCCCAGCTCCCTACTGGTCTTGTCCTAATGCCCAATGGCCCCTGCAGCAACCCAGCCCTACCCACACACATGCGCATGCACACCGGGTTTCAGCCCCCACCCCCAGCTGGGCTCAGTCACCCGGTTACTGACCCCTTACCTGGGCCCTCCAGCTGCTTCTGGATGTAGTTGAGGGCAGAGAGAGCCGCCTGCTGCTTGGCCTCCTTCTTGTTGTTGGCAATGCCCACGGGGCAGGCCACCCCATCCAGCTCCGCACACACAGAGAAGGAGAAGCAGGGATCTAGGGAAGGAGCGGGCTGTGAAGATGTGCCCTGAACTTCATGTCGATCCTGGGTTCCTTCTGGGACATCTGCCCCACCTGAGCCCCAGCTCTGACATTGGACACCCTGGTGGCCAGCCGAAGAGACAGGCTGCTGACTCCTACGTGCCTTTGTGTGCTGGGCCATCATCACTCAGAGGGTCCTCACAGCCCCTCTGAAACAAGTCTGTAAGACCCCGTTTTACAAAGGGCGGGCCGTGTGCCAGGACCCAAATGCAGGGCCTGCTGCTCTCTGATGACGACTTGAGCTCAGAGCACCCGCTGCCTTTCCGCAGACACATGACTCTCGTTCTCTTCTACATTTGAAAGTTTCAACTAGCAAACCCTAACGTTTCAGGTGTTACTTATGACACAAAAGAGACATGAAAATCCTAGAACTGGGACCACTTGGTTAAAGGGCATAAACTTATGGTGGTTGCTGGTACTTGCAGCTAAACTGTTTCCCAAAAGGACTGCTGTTTTATAACTCCATCTCAGCACTGCTCACTAGCCTCAGATTCACCTACTTTAAAAGGGCATCAGGAATGCAACTGGTAGATGCAGAAAGAAGGCTGGCAGCAGAAAACCAACACACAGCAGCCAGCACAGCAGTAAACAAATCTGGCAACAATCATTAAAAATGAGGTAACAGTGTTATAGGGAACAAGATATGCAAATCACCTCCAGATGCTGCCCCTCACTGCCCACTCCCCCCCCCCCCATGACTGGCTAAGCACAGAGGGAAAGTGAAGACACCTGTTGGACACTACCCCAGTCAGGCCCTCCCAGCTAACACTGCCGTGGTGGGACAAACAGACCACAGGCCCCCTGATGGGATGTCCGGCCCATTGGCACCTGCCAAAAATGTGCAGCCTGAACCCGAGCCTGAGGAAACCGAAACCCCATTCTACAAAACAACTGGCCCAGACTCCTCAAAACATCAACGCCTGGAAGACAAAGAGACTGAGGAACTGTTTCATATTAAAGGAGATTCAAGAGGAGTGACAGCTGCATATAATAGTTCATGCTGGTTTGGGGGGAAAAGGCCATTTTTTGGACAAGTGGCAAAATCTGAATGGTAGTCAGGTAATGGTATTTTATCAACGTTCAATGTCTAGAGTTAGATCACTGTACTGCAGTTACAAAGACAATGTCCTTGTTCTTGGGCAATACATACTGCAGTATTTAGGGGGTGAACTAACTTTCAGGTTGTTCAGAAAAAAATCAATGTGGATACCTCTATGTAAAGAAATATATAGAAAAGAGAGAAAGAGGCACACACAAGCAAAAGTAGAGAAGCTGGGTGAAGAGTTTACGGGAGTTCTTTTATACAATTCTTTGAAATTCTGTCAAAATAGAAAATAAAAATAAGTGACTAAAAACCAGGCCTAACCATGTAAACAATGAACAGAGGGGAAGGGAAGGAATCAGGCTCTGAACACAGGCTTCCTGGGTTCACTCTGTGCCCTGCAGCTACAGCCTCTGGCCTGCCTGCCCACCTTAGAACGGTGGTAACAGTGGTGTACCGCCCTTTCATAGTGTGAGGACTCAGTGAGTTCAGGTGCCTGCGCCACCATCCAGAACTCATGAATGCTAGCTATTATCATCTGTGTTGAATCTATCTTCTGTATTCTTGATGCTCTCTGTCAGTTGGACCCTTGATCCTATAGAGATTTCCCCTTCTAGGGCTACCAAATCCTAGAGATAGCAAATGACTCCCCTGTGAGCACACCTCTGATAGAGAAACTAACCAATCCAGACCTCACACCCCAACCATCCAACTCCTCCTCGAGTCCTCATACTCTAAATCACCCAGGGCCAGACACCACACAACCAGGGTAAGGTGACCAGGTGTCCCGCTTTTATCGGGATTGTCCCGCCAAAAGCGGGACGTCTAGTCACCTTAAACTAGGAGCAACTAGAACCCGTAAGCGTAGGGTCTCGCCTCCTTACTCAATCCTAAGCTTACTTAGCATGCCTACATTGCCTCCACCATTCTTTCCAGAGAAAACTCCATAAAGGCGCTGGGCCCTGCTCTTCCCCTCCCTCTTCTGCCTCCTAACCCATCCTGACCCCTTCCCACATAATCCTGTGTAGTAAAGCTATGCCTCGAATTTCTAGGACCTGTATTTATTTCTTTCATGATAATCATTTTCATGTCTGCTATCCTATCATACCTGATTAAAATAAATCCCAGATTACATTTTTAATACCTTATCTCTTTCTGAGCTGTTCATTTGGGGTTTTCTTAGTTTTACAAGAGGTTCCAACAGTTTGAGGAATGATTCGTTTGCTATCTCCTTAGAGACTAAGAATGCACTAGCTTAAGGTTGGGAACCTGAACTTGGGAGCTGGCGTACTGTTCTGTGTGTCTGTCTGATTCAGTAGACGGATGCACTGAGGAAGAGAAAATGACTTAGTAACAATTATATCCCTATGCAGTGTTCCCATTACCAAGCTGTTTGATAACATCTTTAAGTCAGGGGCTGGCCTCCAATCTATCTCCAATGCTGGAATGGCAACTGTAATTGCATGTAATCGGCCTTCAAAAAAAGTGCTCAAAGGCTAGGTAGCTCGAGGCACGTCCTTTAACCTCCACACGCTTCAGATGGGGATAATGTTCACCCTGCCGAGACCTGCCAGTTAGATGTTCAGAGTAGCTGGTGGTCCTAGCACCCTGCTGCTCACAGCCTTGTGTGTAGGTGGGAGGTGAAGGGTCGGGGGGGGGGGGGGGGGTGGGGGGGTAGGCGGGCAGGGATCAGGGTTCCGTCTCAGGTCCCAGGCTCAGGCTCAAGGTTCCCCTTGCTTCATCTAGAGTTGGCCTGGGACGTGCTGCCCTCCCAGGCCGCTGGGCCTCACCTGCCGTCTGGTCCTCTCGGAAGATCAGGGAGACGCCCAGGTTGGCTGCGTACTGTGTGAGCAAGGCCACGGCCTGGCCGGGCGGCAGGTCTTTGAGCTGCAGGCCCAGCTGTTTGGCCGCCTTCGCTAAGTCCCCAGAGAGCCCTGCAGGGGGGACAGAGACCCTCGGGAAACTTCCCTTCTGCCCCCCCATGTCTTCCGGTGCCTGAGCCGTCCCCAGCCCTCCTACTCCAGCCCTTGCTAAGGGCCCACAGGCGCCCCCCGCAGCGGAGGCCAAGGCCTGCCCACCCCCCTTATGGTCCTCCATGCCAGGCACAGGCGGCGGCTCCCAGGAGTCGTGGCCCCGGCTGGCGGAAGGACGCCTGGGGCTGATCTGCAATGAAGCTGCCAGGCGGAGCTTCCTGCGGCCCCCGTCATCAGCGCCTGATGCGGTGCTGGCTGGGGAGGCCATGCCGATGCGAGGACAGCGGGCCGATTTTGCCGCTTGTGCCCTTTTACACGACCCGGGCGCCACCCATGTGGGGGGCACGTGATGCAGCGTACAGTGCGCGTGCGCGGCGAGAGCCTGCCTGCTGCTGGCCAATGAGAGCCCACAGAACTGAGGCAGCCAGTGCTCCCAGCTACAGGCAGGGCCAGTCTCCTGGATGGTCGTGGCCTGGATGGGGATTCGGGGCAGAGTGTGGGGTCGGGGTCTGGGTACACTGTGCCCTGGGGTGGTCCTACCCCCCCCTCCCCCCAAGTCCAGCGTTCCACCTGGCTCCTGCTCAAGAATGTCCTGACACCAAAGCCATCCTAGCAGCCGGCCCCGAGCCACTTAGCTGAGCCTGGAGGTCCTCGTCAGATAAATGAAGGTGTTCTCCATTGAAGCAGGCCTGGGGCATCTTTAGGATGTACAATACATCTTTATTTTATTTTACTTTTATATATTTTTATTGATTTCAGAAAGAAAGAGAGGAGAGAGACCAGCTGCCTCCCACACCTACTCCTCATACCCCCTCCCCACTACGGATCAAGCCCGATCAATGGGGCATGTGCCCTTGATGGCAATCAAATCCAGGACCCTTCAGTCCGCACAGTGGTCAGCAAACTGCAACTGGCTTCAGAGCCACATGCGGCTCTTTGGCCCCTTGAGTTTTTAGCCAAGGCCAGTTTAGGAGTATCCTAATTAAGTTAATAACAATGTACCTATCTATATAGTTTAAGTTAAAAAAAAAATTGGCTCTCAAAAGAAATTTCAATTGCTGAACTGTTCATATTTGGCTCTGTTGACTAATGAGTTTGCCGACCACTGAGTCCGCTGGCTGACGCTCTACCCATTGAGCCAAACTGGCTAGAGCTAGGATCTACATTTTTAAACTGTGAACTATATGCCTTCCTGCAGCCAACGGTAGATGTTTAATTTTAGCCAAAATTAAACATTTGGTACCCTACCCTTTTATCCTTCCAAAGGGATTTTGAGTTGGCTTATAAAAACGCCATAGGCAGTAATCCTTTAAAATGAGGGACTAGGGGTGAAGGAGAAATAACAAAATTAAGGTGAAATTAGGGATGAAGACAACTTACATAGGGCTTGCTATGATGCAACAGAATTGCTTGAAGGGAGCTGAAAATTTAACTGAGTCTTGCAGGAGCCAGTGAATGGGGAAACAGTACCAATAACTCGGTTCACTGTCTGTAAGATTGCTACCTTTGGGACTGACAGTGCTAACAGGATTGTGGCGGTGTGGATACTGGGGCATAAGAGAAACAGTTCCTGGTAGAACCAGGAATGCATGACTTGGAGAGAGCAGAGGTGGGGGGCTGAGTAGATTCAACCTCCTTCAGTTCAGGGATTGGCACCAGGAAGAACAGTTCTGGTTTTGGGGTGGGGTGCAGAGGGAAGAATTAGGGAATTAGGCTTAGGAGATAGGACACCAGCACAGCAGGTATTCAGAAATGAGATGATGGCTACCCAAAAAGATTTGAACAATTTCCAAACCCAGAAACATCACCAATGGGAAATTGCATAAACAATTGGCAATTTATTCATACAATGGCAGTATATAAATTTTTTTTAAAAAAGAAACAAAATACTATTGTGTACCCTACTTGGATAAATCTCATTGGCTTGTTAAATGAAAAAAGCCAGACTAAAAAGAGTAACTTCTGCATGATTGTATTTGTATTAATTTCTTGAAACAAAAATTAATCTATGGTGATAAAAGTCAGAAACGAGGTCACTTCTTGAAGGGGCTATTGACTGAGACATGGCCCCAGGGAATTTTCTGTAGTAATGGAAATGCTCTCTGTCTTGAGCTGGGTGATAGTTACATGGGTTTGTTATATATGTAAACACTCAGTGAGCTGTACACTTAAGACTTGTGCACTTTACTGTATGTTAAGTATACAGTATATAAGTGACAAAAGATGACATAACAGCTTGTTTAGAGAAAGAAAAGAAGGAGGAGAGAAAGAAATGGATTGGGCTTCCCAGTGCAGAAGCTGGATGAGTGCCTTATAAGAATGGTAAGCAAAATACTGGTTCCTCAAAGATGTCCAGACCTGATTCCCACAGCCTATAAAGTTTATATTTATGGCAACGGGGAATTAAGCTTGCAGATGGAATTAAGGTTTCTAATAGGTTGAGTTTAAGATAAGAAAATTATCCTGAATTGTCTGAGTAGGTTCAGTGTAATCACCAGGGTCCTTAAATGGGGAAGAAGGAGACAGAAGAATCCGAATCAGAGATGGTATCATGAAAAAGCCTCAACTGGCCATTGCTGGCTTTGAAGATGGATTGGGGCTATGAACCAAGGAATGCAGGCAGCTTGCAGAAGGAAAAGGCAAAAAACAAAACAAAAAAAACAGGTTCTACCCTGAAGTCTCCAGCAGGTAACACAGCTGTCCTGACACCTTGATGTTAGCCCAGTGCAGTGGTCGGCAAACTGAAGCTTGTGAGCCACATGCGGCTCACAAGCCGCGGTTTGCTGCTCTGTTGACTAATTAGTTTGCCGACCACTGGCCCAGTGAGACCCATTTCAGGCTCCTGACCTCCAGAACCTTACAATATTGCATTGTTTTAAGCCACTAAACTTATGGTGATTTGTTACAGCAGCAAAAGGAAACTAATAAAAATAGACTTCAATATTTTTGTATATATACCTGAACATTTTTGAAAAACTGTATGTCCAAAAATTTTTTAGTCAAAAGTATAAATATCCTTCCACTGCATTTTCACCAAAACTATGGAGATGCAGACTGAGCTTATTCCATTGGCTCCAAATGACCTCCCTACTTGTAAAGCCTGCTTCATAGGGTATAAGGACAACCATTAAGATTCCTACTGAATAATCCAGTGCCTGGCTCATAGTAGGTGCGTGGTGGGGTTTTGTTTGTTTGTTTGTTTGTTTGTTTTGTTTTGTTGAGTAAACTAATTTAATACAAGAACCCCGAGGAATAGGAAGTTCGTTTGGCAGAGGTGGAATGGCCTTCACTCTTGGGATTTAAGTTAGGTATTTCTCCTGCCCAGGGCACTGGCGGCACTCCCATTCCTCCTCCGCCCGGGAGGTGGCGCTCTTGGGCGCCCGTGAGGTCAGCCTTGGAGGCGGGACTTCCTGCCTCGGAGGGAGCTCTTCCGTCCAGGCCCGGAAGACCATTGGGCGCTGCTGTGGATGTGATCCCGGGAGGGTTGCCGGAGTAACGGTGCAGCTTTTGGGCTCCGTTGTGTCACGAGGGTCGGGCGAGCGTCACGTGGAAGCCCATTTCCCAGACGAGCGTGGCGAAGTCGGGGCCACGTGAGTGCGCGCGCCGCCGGACGGCGGGGAGAGGGGGCCCCGGAGAGCTGGGTCCCCTCTGCGGGGGTCCACCGCCGGGAGCGGTGTGGCTTAGGGATGAGCCACCTGACATCTGCAGAGTGGGTGATTAGCCTCTGGCTTTACCTCCTACAGGTGTAAGGCGTGGCAGGAGCCAGCAGACTGTGCTTGCTGTGGGAATTCCGAGGCCTGGTGCAGGAGCGGGACAGGTGGGTTGAGGGGACGGGCCGAGTAGGGGTGTGTTTTGGGAGGGACCGCCCGGACCCCCGCACCCACCCCCTGCGACGGGCTCATTTTTTGCCGCGTCCCGCGTGGCCGTGATGCAGCCTTGGCGGACGGTCCGAAGGGACCTGAGAGCCACGGTGAGGCTGGGAAGCGGGGCTGCCTTGTCTGAGGCTTGTTTGAAGCCGTTAGGTCCCTTGCTCCTCTCGTTCATTTATTCCTGGGTTTGTTCCTTCAGCTTACTTGTACGGGTGGTTACGGTGTAGCAGATACCAAAGCACTGGGGATAAATAAGTCCCTTTCCCGTGGGGACTATTAGAGCAGCTTTTAATCAGACAGCTTCATCTTTAAATATGTATCGATAATTGCCCATAGCTGGCGTGTTCTGGGGGAAGCAAGCAGGGTGTTGTGGGAGGATAGGGTTGGGGGAGCTGGGAGAGGCTTCCTGGCTTGAAACCTAAGGGCGAGTGGGGTTTTGCAGGTGGGAAGGAAGGGCGCTGGCACTCATTGGAAGCAGGTGGTGTGCAGAGGCCCCATGGTGGAAAGAAGCCTGGTGAGGGAGAACCTAGAGGAGGTGAGGGTGACTGGAGCCCAGGAACTAGAGACGAGCTAGAGAGGTGGTGTGTGGGCTGGTTTATCATGGGTGCAGCCATCTATCTCTAGGAGGCTTGGTTGCTCCTTAACTTGCCATTGGTACAGTCAGTCCAGTGGAAGCCAGGGTTGTTTTCTCAAGGACTCACTGAGCACCTCTTTGGTCCCTGCTACTTTCTGCTCTGGGTTTGGAAAAGAAAATGACAGCAGCAGCCAGACATACCAGTAACTCAGGAATGAATCAGTAATTCAGGAATCAATCAGATACGATTCTGGCCCTCAGAGAACTTGCAGTCCAGTGGAAGGGATAAGACATTGCATATAAACCACAATTAGAATGAGGCTGACCTGCCAGAGAAACGTACTCATTCATTTGCCAAGTATTTACTGTGCCGGGTATTTTGCATGGTCGTGAGGACTCATGGATGCACGGAGCTCACAGGATAAATTGATAAAATGCAGTGGCACTTCCAAGGGGAAAGATCTGTGCTTCCTAAGACCCCAAGGCTAGTGTTTGCTTTTGGACGCACCAGAGAGTAGCGGGGATAGAACCTGGACTTTGAATCAGATGGGGGATCAAGCTGTTGGCCTCGGGCAAGTGGCTCTTTCCTGAGCCTCAGTTTCCTGAACTCCAAAATAGGGCAAATAGAAGAATAAAATATATAGTGCCGTGACTGGCAGGCATTTGCAGTCAGTAAGGGAGCACTGCTATTATTTTTTATGTTAATTAAAAAAGAGGGATGATATGGCTACTTATACTTTGTATTTAGCAAAGCTTTTTTCACTAAGTTTATTTTTATTCAACACATAATACATTTTCTGGAAGGAACTGTATTAACAGAGAAATAAGTCTCAGACCCTGGCTTTGGGGAACTTGAGTTAGTATTAAAAGAGTGTAGCGTGGAGTATAGGGCATGGGTAGTCTTACAAATATGTCATTAGAAAATCAACAGCAATGATAGAAGTTGACTCCTCACCACCTGTCTGACTTTATCCCCTACCACTCTTCTTGTTCGTTCAATGGCCTCCTCCTTATTTCTCAAACACTTTCTGCCCCAGGATGTTTGCACTTGCTATTCTGACAGGAACCGTCTTCCTAATGAGGTTCCCAGCCCTCATTTTGTTCAGGCTGGGCCAAATGCCACCCTCTCCATAAGGCTTTCCTAGCTACTGTAGCTAAATCCACACCCTTGGCCCATTGCCATCCCCTCCCTCATGGTTGGTTAGTTGGTTTTATTTTTTAAAGAATAGTTTATTGATTTTTAGAGAGAGAGAGGGAGGAAGGAAGAGGGAGAGATGGAGAGAAACATCAATGATGTGAGAGCTGCCTCCTGCATGCCCCCCTCCAGGGACTAAGCCCACACCCAGGCATGTGCCCTGGACCAGGAATCAAACTGACAATCTTTTCACTCACTCTCCCAGGAGCCCTGGAGGCCGTCGGTCAGATTCACGCCTTTGGAAAGGCCCGTGTCTTCCAGGATGGACTTCCCCAGCTCCCTCCGCCCCGCGTTGTTTATGACCGGCCCCCTTGGTCTGAGCGATGTCCCCGATACGTCCTTCATGTGCAGCTGGAGAGACGCCTTGACCCTGCCAGAGTCCCTGCCCCAGAACTCCGAGGTGAGGAGGGCTGGAGAGCCCTGTGGCTCCGGGGTGGGGACCTTCACTTGGCCTCTATTTTCTAGTACTTACCCCAGTTGGCAGGAGTATAGAGTGGCATGTCTGCCAAGACACAGGCTGAGCGGAATCCCCTCCTTTGGGGTCCATGGGATGACTTACCACCTACAAAGGGCTTACTGAGCAGGAGCTGTTGGCTTGCTCTTTCCTTCCTCTCCCCAGACTCTCCTTCCCCTATTTGCTCAGCAAATACTCAATTGAACAACCCCTACAATGTGCCACATACCTCATTAGGCCCTGGGAATCCAACATGAATAAGCCGGATTTTTATCCCTGTCCCAGTGGAACTTCGGGTTAGATGGAGGAAGACTAGACAAGTGAGCAGTCCACAGGACAAAATCATTACAAAGTGTGATAATAGCTTTGAACAAAACAAAAAAATATGCTGAGACAGCACAATGGGGATGCGGCAGGAAGGGGAGGGGAGACCTGGGACAGGAAGGGTACCAGCTCTTTCCCTGGGAGCCTAAACCACCTGGCTGCTGCTTGGAGACAGGCCGGCCAAGGCTTACTCCAAACAGAAGCAAGCGGGTATGGAAATTAAGAGATGGTGGGGGCCTGGGGAGGGTGGAGTGGGACTTCCCAGACGAGGAAGGGTGTAAGTCAAATAATAGCAATTACTGTCTGGTATCCCATTGCCAGATAATAAGTATTATATTAAAACCACTAGCCACCCTGACCAGTGTGGCTCAGTTGGTTGGTCATTGTCCATGCACTTAAAGGTTGCCGGTTTGATTCCCGGTCAAGGCTTGTCAGCTCTTCCATCTCCTGAGTGTTTGAGCTGAGCCACCCTCAGCCCTGCAGTGGGGAATGGGGTGGCCTGTGGGTGTCCGAAAGAAGTCCATGAGATGTCCTGAGTGGAAATGAGAATCGGTTAGGATTCGGGTCAGTCAGGAACGGTTCCTGGGGCTCCTTGGAGAGCCAGTGCAGCCTGGAGGTCAAAGGCACTGACTGTAGTCAGGCTTTCTGGGTTCAAACCCAGCCCTTCAGTTTTCTGGCTGCTGTTGGGACAAGTGACAGCTTCCCTGTGCCTCCATTTCTTCATCAGTAAAGTGATATGATCATCGTACCAACTCAGCAGGCTCCTTCACAGTGAAGATTGTGTTAATAAAAGACAAGTACTGGCAACAGGGCCTGTCCTGGAAGTGCACTCAATGCTATATTGTTGTCATGGTCGCGTTTCCACAGAATGGGGCGCCACACTTGGCCAAAGGCCTGCTCTGGGAGCCGGACACCCCTGGACCCCTTCCCTTGCTGCCTCCTGGTCCAGGTAAGGGTTTTGGTCCTTGGGGGTCCTCTCCCAAGCTGCTCCCCTGTCACTCTGTCCATTCCTCCCTCCTCCTTGAGCCTTCTCTCTCCCCACTAATGCCCTCCACCCTTGGGTACCTCCAGTCACCTGGGACATGTGGCCCCACTTCTGGGCTCTTCCCAGTCCCCAGGACTGACCCTTTCCCCAACCTTACCCTTCTCTCAGATCCCTGGGACCCTGGCCTGACTGCCCAGGACCTGCTTTTCCGGGGAGGTCCCAAGTTCCGGAGACAGCCCCAGGCTGTGCTAGACGTTACTGAACAGGTGAGTGGCCCCGCAGTGGACAGTGCTGTGTGGCTGGAGCTGTGCCTAATGGCCCGGTGTCCTCTCCTCCCGCAGTTCAGCCGGTTCCTGTGGGACCATGGTGACATAGCCTTTTCCTCCTTGGGGAAACTGATGCTGGAGAATTTCAACCTGGAGGGACCACGGGTGAGTAACCCTGGTCGGCCAGGAGAGGGCTCCCGTTTCACATCTCACATCAGGGTGAGCCCTAGGGTGCAAGCTTGACAAGTCCTTTCCATGCAGAGCTACTCTAAGAAGAAGACAGTGGTCAGTGTGAAGAGGATACTCGAGGACCTCGGTGGACACCAGCCCTGGGGGCAAGTGGCTAGTGAGAAAGGATGGGGTGGGTAGACGTAGCTGGTGGTGAGGATGTGGAAGGTACTAGACATGGATGGGTCCAAGTTTCCATCACAATGGCTCCCACCCTGTGTAATCAGGAGCCATGACACTCATATAAAACTCCCAATTCCACTAGCCTAAGGGATCTGGGGATTTAAATTCATGGGCTGCAGGCATGGCTGCATCCAGAGTTTTAAATAATGTTTGAAACAGGGCTCTGTCTCTTTATTTTCTCATCCTCTTGCCTCTGCCTGGCTTAATTCCTAGGCAGTTTCCAAGTGCAGCAAGATGGCTTATGATTCCAAGGAAAGAGCTAGTGACTTTCCCGGAGGCACCATTAGACGTCCCAGGAAGGGTGTTGCCGGTTGGCGTGGGTGCCGTGCCCATCTGTGAGCCAGTCACGATGGCTGGGGAGATGGGAGTCCTCAAGTAACCAGGGCACGGGAATAGGGTGGGTTGGTTTCTATAGGAAGAAATTCTAGGTAGATTAAAAATGTGTCTACTGCACCTGCGAGAATTTCACCTCTCTGGGGACGATACCCGGTCCTCCTCATCACCGCTACAGCCTGGTCCTCCTGCCATCCTCTCGTCCCCAGGTGTCCCTGGGCCTACTTCAGCCACCGACAGCGCCGCTTCTCCATCCTCGGGGACCCAATCCTGGGCAAGTCAGTGTCGAGCCTCCTGGGAGAACTGCTCTATGAGGAGCTGGCGACGCGGTGGGAGCAGCTGCTCCTAGACGATGCTTTCACTGGAGGTGCATTGGCCTGGCTGCCCGGAAGGACCCCCCAGGTCAGGCAGCTGGTCTACCCTGCAGGAGGTGCCCTGGACAAGCTGTGTATCCTTTCTTGCTGGGCAGGATCCCAGCCAGCTCCCTCTGGTGGAGGAGGTGCTCTTGGCATGGTCCACGGAAGGGCAAGGAGTTGGGGGGCCCTGCATTGACCCAAGCTCGTAGCACTTGTCCTTAGCGAGAGGCCCAGACTTCCAGGAGGTCCGTCTGACCCCAGGCAGTGACCCTCGGATCCTTGGGAAACCTGGCCACATTCAGCTCCGGGGACCTGTCCGTCAGGTGGTGACCTGCACCGTGCAGGGAGAATGTAAGACCGTTAACTACTTCCCTCCCCTGCTGCCTGAGCCTGACCCTGACCCTGACCTTCACCTTCTCCACCCCTCCTCAGCTTTGTTGGCTGTCCGTTCTGATTACCACTGTGCCCTGTGGAAGGTCAGCAGGCAGGGGCGGCCAGTCCCCCTCCAGGTGCTAAAGGTTGAGAAGGGGGCCACGGGGATCAACCTCAGGTAGGGGGCAGAATGGGGCTGGTTGGCAAAGAGATAGACATGGGAGAAGGGGGTGGCAAAGCATTAATCACATTTATGCCCTGTAGCCCTCACCTGCCCGGGGAGTTGGTCGTCTGCAGCCGTTCGGGAGCCGTCTGTCTGTGGACACCCCACGACGGGTAATGCCCTTTCCCCAAAAACCTTCCACCCCACAAACAGCTCCCCCTGAACTGCAACCCGTACTTCCCACACAATATGTCCTGGACCCAGGGCCAGGTTGCCACGCATCTCCCAAGCCCACCTGTCTATCCCCCCACTCATGTCTCCCCAAGGCTTCGGCAAATCTACAAGGATCCTGAGACCCTCGTGTTTCGGGACCCGTCTCCTTGGCGTTGGGCAGACTTCACCGCCCACCCTCGGGTCCTAACTGTGGGTGACCGCACTGGAGTGAAGATTATCGACACTCAGGTGAGGGCTGGGGGATTGTCACAGGCTCAGCAGTGGGTTAGTGGGGGCTGGCAGGGCACCTCCCTCAGGGCATGAAAAGCAGCAGGGCCAGGGAATCCAATACCTGGTGGTGCCCTAAACCTCGGACTGTGGGGGGGCTGACCTGGCTTTCTCCCCAGGGCCCGCCCGGCTGTGGTTTGCTGCTTTTCCGTGTGGGTGCAGAAGCATCATGCCAGAAAGGGGAACGTGTCCTGCTGACCCAGTACCTGGGGGAGTGCGGCCCCGATTCTCTGCAGCCCACACTCCATCTCATTTGTACCCAGGTGAGCGCCACCTTCCCCCTCCCGTCCCTCCTGCACTGTCTCAGCCAGCTACTAGAGAGGGTCCTGGGACAGCGAACTGCAGGTGAAGTAAGAATCACAAAACCCTAATGAGTCTGAGGCTGAAACATGCTAACTGGCGGGTGGGTACAGCCTTCGGGGGTGACATCTGAGCAGGGCTTTGAGGGGCCCGTGGAGATGGGCCAGGTGAGGAGAAAAGGCATAGAGTGGGGAGCAGTCTTTGCAAAGCTGGACAGTTCCCCCCTGTGCTCTGGAAAGGAGGAGCTCTGAGGGTCTGGGGTGCACACTGCGCGTGCACCCCCCCCCCCCCCCCCACACACACACAGACACACTGCGTTAGTAGGTGTGTCAAGCATGGGTTCCAGGCTCTGGTGAGTCAGGAGAAGGCTGGGTGAAAGCCTGTTGGGTTTCTATGTGACAAGACTCCTCACACCTCTCCTGAGATCCCTTCTCCAGCTGTGCCATCAGGATGAAGGGTGGTGCTGCCCACTTGGGAAATGCTCCTGTGTGGGTCTGGGCACTTGAAGGTGGAGAGATGGCCAGGGCCAGACACAGTGCATGCCCTCTTGGGGTTCACACACCTCCTAAAAGCCACGTGGGGCCACATCAGACCCTCTTTTCCATCTCGGTTACACTCCTCTGTCTCGTTTCTGCTTGGGCCTCCAGTTCTCACTCTACCTCATGGATGAACGCCTCCCCTTGGTGCCCATGCTGAAGTGGGACCACAACCTCCCCTCGGCCCCCCTGCTGGCCCAGCTGCTGCCTCCACCCCGCCCTGGCTGCGCCCGGCCGCTGCTCCTCGGAGGCCAGGGCGGGCAGCTGCAGCTGCTGCACATCACAGGTGAGGTCCAGTGAGGGCAGGAGGGGCGTGGGAGATGGGCAGGGCTGGAGCCTGGGCAGGACCTCAGCTGCCTGTCCTCTTTCCAGGGGAGGGGGCCTCCACGCCCCGGCTGGCAGGGCACCCCCAGTCTCTCCCTTCCAGGAGCGACTCCCTCTCCGCATTCCCCCTGCTGGAGCCCAGGAGTCACTGGCAGCTGCAGGAACGTCTCCAAGCGCCAACCATAGGTGAGCTGGGCTGAGGGAGCGAGCCTAGGGGGCTGCACCCCTGGCCGGCCTCAGAGTCACTGTCATTTCTGCCTTCAGGTCTGGCTGCCACCATCCTACCCTCTTCCTCCTCACCAGTCCTGTCGCTCTTCCAACTCTCCACGGCTGGAGATGTCTTCCACCAGTGCCTCCACCTCCGGGAAGACCTCGGGCCTCCCAGTGACCCCAGGCCCAACTGCTGTGCCCCCACGGCTTCCTGGAGCCCCCAGGCCACTGCTTGCTGTCGCCGGTGGCTAAAGGCCCTGCTGAAGGTGCCACCGGCTCCGCCTGTGTGGGCCGCACCCACCTTCTCCCACCGCCATCTGCTGGGCTTCAAGGAGCAGCAGAAGGTTGAAGGGAAAGTGCCAGAAGGTCTCCGAGCGGCCATGGCCCAAGGGCGGCTACTGCAGCAGAGGGACCTGGGCTCGCTTCCCACCACAGAGCCACCGCCGGGCCCTACGCCGGGCCCCACGGATGAACTCAGTGAGCGATTGGAGGCAGCCTGGGAAGGCCCGGTGACTGCCTGGTGGGAGCAGCAGCGGGACCGGACCTCCAGGCCCGGGAGGCAGCTGAAGCGGCCCAAGCGTCGAACGCAGCTGTCCAATACCTTCTCCTCGCTCAGCAGCCGCCTGGACCTCTCAGGTGCCACCAGCGCCCCTCATAGCCCAGACTGGACATCCCCTGTGTCGAGGCCTCGGTCCCCAGTGGCCTTGCCCTCCCAGGAGTTGACCCAGGATCTGTGGGCCCAGGGCATTCCCTCAGAGCGGCAGCAGACCCTTCGGGACTATATGGCCAAGCTACCTCTTCAAGGGAACACTCCAGAAGGTTCCTCCACGTCTCTCTCCCAGATTTCCAGTACCCAGGCCACCCCCTCCACACAGCGGACCCTCCGGGACTGCGCAGCTGAGCTGTCATCCCACAGGGACACCCCAGGAGGTGCCACACTGCCCTCCTCCCAGACCTCCAGCATCTGGGCCACCCCCTCCAGGCAGCAGGTGCGCATCCTCTCTGGCTCTCAGCCACACCGGAAGAAGCCGCGCATGGGCTTCTGAAGGACGAGAAGCTGCACCCCACCTCTGGGGAGCCCCTGGTCCCCGACCAGCTGTGCCTTCTGTGACTGAAACTTCGGGAATGGAGAGGGAACAGTCTCAAAGTGCAGTCCTGCTTCCTGACTGCCACTGTGATGGGAGACATCCAAACATGATTTGGAGCCAAGTAGGAGGAATGGGAACAACAAAACCATAGTTTCTCCTTTTCCTGGGGGTACTTCCAGAGCCGGCTTGATGGCCCCAGTGGTCCTGTCCTGAGGATCTGTCATCAGGAGGCAGCTATGCGCTTGACACAGGGACTCCAGTCAGGCCCAGGGTTCTGCCTCATGCAGGCTGTGTCCTGTGTTCCCTAGTCAGCTCCTCGCCATGGTCGGGACAGTGAAACGAGACACAGGAGCTGCTGGTGCCTGGTCAGTGGGTGTGGGAAGCTGCTGTGGCCTCGGTTGTGTGTGCCACGCAGTTCCTCCCAGGAGCTGATGTTTTGTAAGGGAGACACTTAGGACCCATCTTTAGGGATTGAATAAACTTGTCACCTGAGTTTTGAATGACAAAGTTTCTAGGACTTGGAGGTATTCACTTACGTTGCTTTTTATGTCTAATGAATAACGCTTATTTCCCCAAAGCTCTGTAGCTGGTGGGAGATTGTGCTGTCCTGTGAGGAAAGCACCCACCTGAGGTTTCACAGGACGTCATATCTGCTCCAGATTAATCACACGTGGAGAGAGGAATGGCCTTATCGCGGGGTATCTGATGAAATGGCTCACATCCCTCGAGCAGATGTGAAATAATTTGACAACACATTACTTCACGTGAATACTCAAATGTTTCTATGTTTAAAGGAGACATTGACGGTTGTACAATGTACACCACAAATAACGGGGAAATGCGTTATGCTTTGAGAACAAGGGACATAGTGCTGCCCAACGCTGCAGCGGGGGAGCATAAGAGAGATGAGTCGTGTGACAGCACATGCTGCAGCCCAGGCCCCAGAGCACTTCCGGGAATTGCAGGAAGGAAGGGAAGCCCAGCCCAGGGGGTGACCTGCACCTCGCTGCTGGCTCCCTGTGAGTGCAAGGGCAGAGGGGCCGCCTTGGGGTTCAGTCCAAGCCAAATTCGATGTCTTCCTGGTCTTCCCTCGCCTCGGGCACTGCAGGCTGCTCAGGCTGAGTCTCAGACCGCACCTCCTCCTCTTCAGTGCTGATTCCTAAGAGGAAAGATGGCTCAGTGCTCCTGGGAAATATGGCCACCCCTTCATTTTCCCACAGGCAGTCCTAGAGGCAGCCACACAAGCTGGCGTCCACAGAGAAACCTGGACCTGAGTGTTGAGAAAGAGCAGGAATTGTCTAGGTTCAATAAACGCCCTGATTTGTGTCCCCAATGCAGTTGCTGAATAAATACCCACCAGGTTGTGATCAGCAAGCACCGGCCAGAACCCCCTCAAGTGCATATCCCTGATCACAGGCTCGGGCCCCAGGACCAGGCCAGGCTAATATGTCAGATTGTGGCTTCATTTGTCCCACCCAGTCAACTGCTCAACACTCCCGCCTGGACAATCTCCCTTCCTGCCCAGCACTGCCTCGCCCATCCTGCCCCAATTCTGGACCTTCACCATGGAGGGGCCACAGGCCTGCGTCCCCACACTCCCAGCTGTGGTGTCACCGGTCCCCTCTTTCCCTTAGAAGTCGTGGTCTGGAAAGGCTGAGGATTGGGGTGGTGAGGAAAGGTGAAAACAGGCTCCCCTGCCCCATCTACACCTGCTGAACATGACTGCCAAGATCTATATGCCCTTAAGGAGCCTGGAAATGCCACCCGCCTGGGAATGCCTTGGCTCCACAGCTTCTCGGCCCTGGCCAGCAACCGGAAAGGGTAGCTTCAGACAGGCATAGAGTTAGGAATGTGACCGCCACTTCCATGTTCAGTCAAGAGTGACCCTCCAAGCACATGGGATTGTCGGGGCAAAGGCCCAGTGGGCTCTCCCCCACAGGGTCGGGGTGGGCAACAGTTCATCTGCCCGCTGGCAAAACTGTCAGCCCCTGCTTTTGAGAGCAGGGCGGCATTACCTGGAGGAGAGGCCGAAGGTAGGTCATCGTCCCCGTCACTGGAAGGGGGTGGTGCGGCGGCCCTTTCGCAGGTTGGGGGTGTCGGTGGTTGGTCCGAAGGCTTGTCATTGTTGAGCTCCTGGATCAGTGGGCGCGGGGACTTGGTGTCCCTGCTTTGGGTCTCCAAGTCCCTCTCTGCTGCCGCCTTATATATGTGTGTGAAGGGCGCTTCGGCCTTCCTGGCCGTGTCCTTAGAGATGGCGAATATGTTTGAAAGGGTGTGTGTGGACGAGCCTTCCAGCACGGGGAGTGAGGTGTAGTCCAGTTCAAGATCACTGTCGTCACTCAAGCCTGAGATGACTGTGATCTTTGGAAAGCACGCCTGTTTTTTTAAAAAAGATGTCTTTGAATATTTCTACTGTCACCGGGAATCACTCTAAAATGCCCAGTGCTAATTCCTCTTTTATCCAGGGTCAGGTCAGATTGGGAGATCTCCCCATTGTGCTTTATACACTCCTTCCTCCCCCCCTTCTCCCTTCCTTTCTATGTATTTCTGTAGTAGTGCTATGTAAGGTGGACATAGAAGTACATAAGAAGAGCAGAAAAATGTCAGGGAGTACATGGTTATTAAAGATCAGTAATAAAATATGTTCAAGAAAACCCCAGTGATTTATCATAAAACCTTAAAGAAGGGCAACAGCCAGGAGCTGCATTTCCTTTTGAAAGGTGAAAATAGAGCAGGTGTGCAATGATTTAAGCACAAAAAGCATCTTCTGAATTAAAGTGATATATGCTTTGTAAATGGCAAGACTGGAGGGAAAGTGGAATTATGCTGGTTTGGGGAAAACCTGTGTTATCACCTTGTCCTTGTCTTCTGAAGATTCGCCTGGATCCACATCTTCCAAGTCAGGCAGGTCCTGAAAGAGCCAATGAGCCCGAGTCACCAGGAGGGCATACCCACTCTGAACATTGGTAGGTGAGGCAGGTGCAGCCACACGGTGCAGTGAGCCTGGGTCAGGGGCAAGCAATGCATCCGGAGGGCAAGTGGGGAATGACCGACGCCTCAGGCAGCCCCGTGCACACTCACAAAACACACGTGTGGCTACTTCAAGTATGGGGGCCTGATCCATGCATGAGATTTGCAAGGTGTGGCATGTGTGAAGAATTTCCACATCTTTCTTCACTCGACTTTGTCATTAGAGATACAGCCAGGATATCTGGACGGACACGACGGAGCCCAAACCAAGTGTATTCTCTATGTATCAGGTAATCTCAGGGCTCTGAGCCATAAAATGAGTATATTGTGGACCTCCCCCAAACTAGAAGGGCTTTTGTGTTCTGTTTTGTGTTGTGTGTGTTTCTGGTGTCTTTATCTCTAGCAGCTGGTCCAGCATGTGAGGCAGGTAGCACCGTGTGTTACATTCCTGAACTCTGGAGCCAGACTGCCTGGGTTGGTATTCTCCTCTACTGTTGCCTAGCTGTGTAGCCATGGGCAGGTTGCTTAACCTCTCTGTTCCTCCATTTCCCTGTAAAATAGGGATAAGAATAATACCTCTCTCTCAGAGTTATTGGAAGGGTAAATCAATCAATACAAGATGTATTTAGAGCAGTGCTGGATAAATGGTAAGAACAGTAAGTGTTAGCTGTAATGCCCAGTATACAGTCGGTTCTCAAATGCTAGAGATTAATCGCCCAGTTTTGTTTCTTAGCATACATAGGCCCAGAAAACTAGAAACCCACTCAGTTTGTCTTAGTGAGCCACATGCAACTGTGCAGTTAGAAATGAGACACCGTTTAGAAATGTATGAAGAGAATGGGCTGAGGGCAAAGTTGTGCCCGGGGGTTTAAACGGAAGGAGCTCATTCATGGGCAGAGAAGCAGGCTGTCTTTCCAGTGAGCACAGCGAGCACAGTATAGAGTAGCCTTGGGGACTTTGAAAATTGGCGTCTAGGGGAGGAAGAGGAGCCTTGGCTGGATTCCATGTTTATTCCCAGATAATCTTTAACCGTATAACAGGTCTAACACTTGTTCAGTGGGCGAGGGGGATGGGGGGGCGGGAATGGGCCCTGAGGGACAGGCAGTCCAAGAGGGTGAGGCAGGTGTGAGGCTAAAGGCTCAAGAAATGCCTCCCCACTACTTGCCCCACCAAACTCCCGTTCCTGGGGGGTAGGGAGAGTGACAAAATATGTGCGTTTTCATGGTGCTCGTTCCTTGGGCTGGAGCATTTGCGACTTATCAAAACAGAGCTTCAGGAAAGAGAGGGTTCATGAGGCTGAGATAATCCAAAGGTCAGGCTGCCCCTCACTGAACAGGCATCAGGGGATCGGACACTGGACAACCAGGCACATCAGGAAGCTGAAGCAGCCACAGGACGGGAAGATGGCGTCAGCCACGTGCTGGGCAGCTGCCCAAGGAGATGAGAGGCTCTGATGATAAATGTAACTTTCTCAGCCATTATGTACAAGGCTAGCTGGACGGAATGGCTTCGCAGTGTAACTTCTTTGGGGAAAACAAATCAAGGGAAATCATTTGGCCAGCGCTTCAGTCTTGAATGTGTAATGTGTGAACTCCTTAGGGAAGATCTTTTTAAAATGCAGATTCAAATCAGTGGGTCTGGGTGGGGCCTGGGATTCTGCATTCTGACCAGCTCCCAGGGGGTGCTAAGCCTGCTGGTCGGTCCAAGGACAACACTTAGGGGAGTGGGAATTTGAAGGGTTTGTATCTGATCGCCTGCTTCACTGGCTGTAAAGGAGATACTTATCTCCACAGGCAACTATTTACATACAGCGATGAAGAGCTTCTCCTCTGTCTTCAGCGTAATGGTGTCCAAATCTCCATGTTCAACAGGCTCAGGACCCAAAGCATTCTCAGTGGCCACACTCTCGGGAGCTGATTCTAAGGAACAACAATAAAGAGTTATTAATCTCGGAGTTAGTTTTATACATAGCAACAAGGCCAAGGTCAAGGTGGATTCCAAAAGCAGAGGAAGGACAAAACCTTGGTTTGAAAGGCCAGCCCCTATGACCAAAGCTGTGAGAATCCCCAGATTAGGAGAGGGTATGTCTAGGAAAGGGAAGGGAAAAAGAGAGAGCAACCCCCTGCTGGAGCCTGGAGATGATGAGATGGAAGTGCCAGCCAGGAATCAATGTAGATAAATACATAGGAACCTTGGAAGAGGCGTGATTGGTGGGCAACGAGAAAGGCCTTCCTAACCGAGAATACATAGCTTAAATCACCCTTGGATTTCTAAGGTGGGAGGTCGGGGGAGCTTATCTCACTCACTGAACGAAGAAGTCAGAAGTCTCAGCACTTGCCAGGTATTCTCATAAATTCTGGGAAGAGCCACAACAAAGTAAAAGGGGGACCTTGAAATCTAGTCTGTGCCCAAGATAGCCAGCAGAGGAACCTTGAAACCTCTAGACAGAAGGGTATAAAACCTCTGGAACCCCCACCCAGTTCACACTCAGATTAGCTGAGTGCCCACCTGTGTGTTATGCCA